ACACCTGAAACACTTTTCTCCATCTTTTTTTACCTCTTGCCATTTTCTCTCCTGTGACTTTTCCTCCTGAGACACCAAGCTCTGTTCTGCTCTCTCCTTCTACTTTCTGGGCACCGTGAAGAAACCCCTGATGTCCCCGCCCCTGGTTATGTGACCCTTTCCTTATAGAGGTTGCTCCATCCGACCGCGTCGTGACCTCACGGATATGGCCCTTGTACCACCACGAGCTCTCTTTGAGTGACACTTGGTGTCTTACTGTGCCGGCATTTTATGGCTGAAGATGTGGATAGAAGCTCCCTTGTTTTGAGGAGCAGTGAAGTCTCCATTGAAATGTAGAGGAATAGAACTTGGGGTGAGCAAGAGGATATCAATAAGGAAAGACACCAGGACCCCCCGAGAGTGTGAGCCAAGGAGAGAAAAGCCTTGTAGGGTACAAATGAAACAAAGAGGGGGACTTTTTAGATGTCTCTGTCTCCAGAGCTCTGCTAAAAATCCAAGAGTTGGTCAAGACTTATACTTTCTGTCAAAAAGACCATGACGATGTCTGCCATGCATTGCAAATTTAAATTATGGATTTCACTTTTAATTGTTAGAGTTTGAGTTACCGCCTTCTTCATGATCGGACCGCGCTCATCTTTGTCNCCATGCATTGCAAATTTAAATTATGGATTTCACTTTTAATTGTTAGAGTTTGAGTTACTGCCTTCTTCATGATTGGACCGCACTCGTCTTTGTTACCTACCCGGTCTGTGGGTTTTGTGTGGGGCTCTCCTTCCACCTTTGACCTAAAAGACGGGTTCTGGGCAAAACCAAACTGTTGGAGTTCTTTCTTATATGGGTCTATTTCAGCAACGGTAACTCTAACAAACTATAGAGGAGGAACATGCACATTGAATAAATAGAAAATATTTATTATACAGCATCGTCAAGATTATTTGACAAAAGGCAGTAATAAGCCAGACAGAAACACGTTTACAAGAAGCTCAACAGCTTGTATAAGCACATACAGTAAGGGGAAGGGTTTCCCCCCTTTTGGTGTCAGGTACGTATGTGTCCATTTCCAATTTTGAACAATTATGGTATAAGACCTAATATTCTATTGTACTGAGGAAAACTTTTGATCATGATAATAGGAGGCATTCAGAGTAATAATGTGATCAGTGTTGAATGTGCTCACCAAATGTCTCGAAAACCTCCGAACAAACGGACATCTTATATTATTTGAATAGTAGAAGCAGTTTGCCTGGTCTGCTCTTGCTTTAAAGAAATCTGAATGCACAAGTCCTGTGACATCAAGGACATAGGTTAGTGGCGTTAAGATGAGATGGTATGCATTCCCTTGCTAGTTTGCCTAATAGCAGACCACCTAATAAGCAAAGGAACAATCCATTTCTCTCTTTCGGCTTCATTACAATGAAAATATGGACCAGAGATCCACATTTCAATCATAAGGTCATTCTATCAGAGACATTACAAAGTAATTTTTTAAAGAAAGGCAGTCCATTCTTGGTGCGGAACTGACCAACCTTGGCAGGAGAAGATGGGGATGGCAGGAGCAACAGCGAGCCTTGAACTCTGAACAAATGATGCAGCGGCTATTTAAAGATTCTAAGATGAGTTTCGGCTGAGAAATCAGCAGCTTCGACATGAAGGAAGCATATTAAAATATGGGTGGGCATCAGGCATAAACAAAGATATTTAAGGAGAAAGATTCATTCTACAAATGCTAGAAATCAAAGCAGCAAGTAAAAGCTCTTTATTTGGGGTAAAAAAGGGAAGGCAAAAATGAAACAACTGGATGGCACATACATGAATATTACACACAGCAAATAACAAAAACATTATGGAACGTTATGACAGTGAAAGTATAGGAATAAAGAATACATGGAAATAAAAATTAAAAGAAAGTAGAAAGTGATGAATAAATACCTTGAGAAATTATGATCTGCCTTAGAAGTGATTATATGCTTTAAGCACATAAAGCTCAAGTAGCTGTGGAAAATCTTTAAAAAACAAAACAAAACAAACCCTAAAGTAACCTGAAATAATCTAAATACTGTCATTTCAAACATGTTTTAATAATGATGTGTGCAAGTTTATAAAACGTACCATTTTATTTTTACCACAGTTCTTGTAAACTTTCAATATAAGAAATTTTCAAACCACTTCATTAATAACATATTTCCAGATCATAAAATATCTGATACATAAGTTTCCTCTTAGAAGAGGAAGGACCGTCTGAGCAGCATATGAAAAACATTGGCCCACAGCACTCAAACCTTCAAAGAGTTCCTGTAGATATTGGTGACGATGGTCTAGAAAACATTATCGGGACATAAAAATATCTATATTACATTGGCCAGACGATCTTCTACTTGCAGGTAGATTGACATTACTGCACAAATTTTATTATCACAGGTATACAAGGACACGAGAACTCGTTCACTCGTTAGTTACAGGGACTTCTGTGACAATAGGAAAGAATTATTTGTCATTAAACATTTGCCAGGAGTAGTTGCTATGAGTACACCGTTAAACTCAGAGATGGGTTTGTTTCTGTAGTTAATGGGAGAAGTATTGGCACCAAATACACATACTGCATCTTAGAAGTTCAACTGGTAAGTATTATTTGCTACAGTAAATGGAAGGTAACAATTTTGCCACATGGTTTGTTCTCTGTAACTGAAGGGCAAAGGAGAGCCCTCTTGGCACTAACACAAGTTAATCCACAAAAGGTCTCCAGCCACCCTTGAAACAAGCTCTTGTCCTGGCCTTTCCGCCCCATCGTCAGGAAGCCAGCATCGGACATGGGAAGCGGATTGTGCTGATTTGTTCAAAGCCCCGCGCTTATGGATTTGCCGTCTTCGCATCGCCTCCTTCCCCCGCTCTCCCGATGAAGCACGTCTGGGTGATGATCTCGCTGTTACTCCTGTTTTCCCAGATACAGCGGCAGGACGTCCACGCACCTTTCCCAGCGGGACAGCAGGCTGCACTGTGCCCGGTGCAGCGGGAGAGGACAGGCCCCTGACCCGGCCAGTGCTGGAGCCACCTGAAGACCAGGGGTCTGCGGTCCCATCCTCGGTTCTCGGGGGGCTTCGGTGCCTGCCCCCTCCCCCCTGTCCGGCTCCACGGGCTCACCAGGAACACCACGAGGGGCGCTCACACTCCGCTCCGCGCACCCGCGGCCGCTTTCGGCGCCGGCCACGCGCCTTTACGCACAGCCGTCCAAAGGGGGAGATGGTGTGTGTCGATTTCATGTTACAGATTTATGTCCGTGATGAAAGTTACACGCTACACGGGATTGTGCTTTGTCAGAATTCCCTTTCTTCCCGGAGGCGGCTTTGAACGATGCAGGAATCAGACG